AGCTGGGAGACTGTCGCAGGGAACTCTGGGAGGATCGCTGACGAGAGCTCCGAGCGGTACCAGGACGACGACGCACGGACCTTGGGGGCAGAAACCGGAGGTGTCTCGACGGGGGCACTGCTATCGGTCGTGACGGAGCTGTTGCCGAGTGATGGCTCGTAGCGAGGCTGCTGCTTGCTGTAGAGGTCGGGCAGCGGTCCAGCGTTCGGGTAACCTTTTGTTGGTGGTTGTTCGAAGGACAAGTGGGACAGGTTCAGATGCGCAAGTTGGGGTGCGCTGTATGCAGGTGTGACCGGGATCTGGGCGTACGACGAAGCCAAGGAAGGCCGCGATGCTGGGATGTCAGCTGGGCACACACGCACATACTGGGTTTGTCACTTGAATAGGTGTTCAGGGTGACAGCCGAAGTCCAAGCCCGCAGTACCACCTCGGAATGCTTCGTTTCGGTGACAATAACAAATCCCGCTGCATTGTACTCACAGGTGTTGGATCCCATCTTGGAGAGTGACAGAGTGCTTGTCTGCGGCGAATTAGACTCGTGGGAGAAGAGGGAGCTCTTGTTGCTGTGGTCGTCCCTCCATTTGCGGAGCCCTTTCACCGACTTGAAAGTGCCCATTAACGAGCCCCGCTTGTGGTGTTTCCGGCTGCCGACGCTTCCCGTCTCTCCATCCCGGTCTCCGAACATCTCAGAGGGCAGGTCTAGTGTCGAACCTGAAGGCACTGGCGGCAGCGGAGGGAGAAGGTGCGTCGAGGATGCAAGCGAAGCCTCAGTGACCTTGCTCTTGTGCGACCTGAGGGAAAGGGTAGACGCCTTTGACGACTTGCCTGGTCGTTTCAGGCTATTCGTGCTAGCATGGGACACTTTGAGCCTTGTGTCTTCATTGAAAGGATGTGGCTGGGAACAACGTCGTGGCCCGACGTCCGTGCTTAACCCACGATCGCCATCTTTCACTCTCCGTCAGAACGCGGAGAAGTGCTGTTCACTTGCAAGCTGCTCTTCCCCCTATGATTGCAGCTAACCTCAGTTTCCCGGATATCCCTCACCCGCCCCCAGCTCGCGCAGCAGGTTGAGGAGATCCTCGTGCGCATGGGCTCCGGCGGCCAGATCCGCGGCAAGGTCTCGGACGAGGCGCTGAAGGGTCTTCTGGAGCAGGTGAGTTGCACACATGTGCCATGGGCTCCTGGGAGCCGTTTGGCGTAGCTGCAAAATCCGTACGTGAAACTGACAGCAGGTCTCCTCCTCGTCGCAGCCCAAGCCCCAGTCGTCTGCGCCCGAGCGTGCCGGAACCCGCAGGCTGGGCGGAGGCATCACCGTGAGTACTGCTACGCTTTCAGCGTCGGCTTGGCGCACCTGACAGCTACCGTGACGTGGCTCGTGAGCTGACATTCAGATCCAGCGCAAGCGCGACGACTCGGACTCGGACGAGTACGACCTCTGATCTGCCCGACGTGGACTCTGGATCTGGATCGCGTCGGGGGGACGACGGCTACGACACTGTTGATATAATACTTCACATGCATGCATAATAGCACTGGGCCGGCTTGCTGAGACTGCCCCAGTTTCACGCATACGCAAAGTCTTCGAGCTGCCCTCGAGTCGCCCACGAGTGTGACTTCGAATTCTTCGGGTTGCTCATTGCTTACTGCCTCAGCTTGTCCACACGCGTTCGGCGCTCTCGTTATGGTCCAGGTGCGGGACAATCATACATGGGGTGCATATACATAGGCAAGGCGAAGCAGAAGGGTATGAACAATTATAACACTGCTGGAAAGGACTACTGAACCACGACGTGTCAAGATACATTTCCCCATCGAGCACTCCAACTCCCCTTTCCGCTACTCTCCGGCGAAGCGGATGCGCCTCGCACGGTCGTCCCGGATCGGCTCCTCCTCCTCTTCTGGCGGCATGTGCTCCGCCTCGAGTGCCGAGAACTCGGCCATAATGTCGACGACCTGCGGCTTGCCGCGCAGCCGGCGCAGGCGGCTCGTGCTGCTGCCCGAGTCCTTCGAGTTGACTGACACCGCGCTGTCGTGCACGGTCAGCGTGCGCTTCGAGCTGCTCATGGACCCGCTGCGGGTGCGCGGCGGCGTCGGCGGGCGTCCCATCGGCGTCGCGGCACCACTGCCTTCCTCGTACTCGCGCGACACTCCCGATGGCGCGACGACATTAACAGCCGGCTGCGGGGGCAGAGGGCGCGCTGCACGGCGCGAGGGAAGATCACTCGGCGGAGCGGGGAAGGCCAAGGCGCTCGGCAGGTCGCTTGGCGGCGCAGGGAAGGCGAGCGCCGTCGCAGCAAACGTGAATGCGCTCGTTGAGCCGAAGGAGAGGCGGCTCACTTCCTCACGCGGCTCGGGGTAGTCCATCGTGTCCTCGATAACGGGCAGAGGGGCGGGTGCAGCGACGGGCGGCGAGCGCACCTCCTCGGCCGAACGGGAGCGCGAGATGGCCGACGCCTGCGCAACATCGTAGCTATCCCGCCGGCCCATCTCCTGCGACGCCGACGACTTCGGCGACGCCTGGAGCTTGAGCTTGCCCATTGCCTCGGACGGGGGCTCGACAGCCTCCGAAATCTTGCGCTCGCGGCGCGCGGCGACGGCGCGCGCGTGGACCGACAGCTTCTGCGCGAGCTCGTCCGCCGAGACAGACGGCGTGTCGAAGGCGTCCCGGATGGCGTGGCCGTAGCCTAGCTCCTCCGCGTTGATCATGATGGCCGTCTTCTTGATCTGGTTCATCGACTCCTTGAGTTGCGACATGTCCTTGATCTCGAGCTGCCACTCGCCTGCGCCCTTGCTCTCCCCGCTGTCACCGAACACCACCCGAAGCGCGAGGTCACATCCCTCGGAGTGCGCGTAGTCTCGCGTGATCTCCGCCGATGAGTACCGCGTCAGTAAGCGCCGGTCGATCTCCTGGCGGGTAGTAACGTCGGGGACGAATGGCGTGCCGCCATTCCTGCTTGGCCGTCGCAGGCTGCCAACGCTGTGGGCGCTTGAGAGTCCGCGCGGCGAGGAAGGCGCAGAAAGAACGTGAATGTGCGCGACCGAGTGCTCGTCGGCCGCACCGCGCGGCTTGTCGTCGACAGACATCTTGAAGCAGGTGAAAACGAGTGTGCACGGAGCCCAACGAATCTGGCGACCGTTGTGGTTCTGCGTCATCTGCCGGAACGACGCAGGCACTGTGAGGACCGTGATCGGCTGCAGCTGGGAGACTGTCGCAGGGAACTCTGGGAGGATCGCTGACGAGAGCTCCGAGCGGTACCAGGACGACGACGCACGGACCTTGGGGGCAGAAACCGGAGGTGTCTCGACGGGGGCACTGCTATCGGTCGTGACGGAGCTGTTGCCGAGTGATGGCTCGTAGCGAGGCTGCTGCTTGCTGTAGAGGTCGGGCAGCGGTCCAGCGTTCGGGTAACCTTTTGTTGGTGGTTGTTCGAAGGACAAGTGGGACAGGTTCAGATGCGCAAGTTGGGGTGCGCTGTATGCAGGTGTGACCGGGATCTGGGCGTACGACGAAGCCAAGGAAGGCCGCGATGCTGGGATGTCAGCTGGGCACACACGCACATACTGGGTTTGTCACTTGAATAGGTGTTCAGGGTGACAGCCGAAGTCCAAGCCCGCAGTACCACCTCGGAATGCTTCGTTTCGGTGACAATAACAAATCCCGCTGCATTGTACTCACAGGTGTTGGATCCCATCTTGGAGAGTGACAGAGTGCTTGTCTGCGGCGAATTAGACTCGTGGGAGAAGAGGGAGCTCTTGTTGCTGTGGTCGTCCCTCCATTTGCGGAGCCCTTTCACCGACTTGAAAGTGCCCATTAACGAGCCCCGCTTGTGGTGTTTCCGGCTGCCGACGCTTCCCGTCTCTCCATCCCGGTCTCCGAACATCTCAGAGGGCAGGTCTAGTGTCGAACCTGAAGGCACTGGCGGCAGCGGAGGGAGAAGGTGCGTCGAGGATGCAAGCGAAGCCTCAGTGACCTTGCTCTTGTGCGACCTGAGGGAAAGGGTAGACGCCTTTGACGACTTGCCTGGTCGTTTCAGGCTATTCGTGCTAGCATTCACCTGCGTCTTCTTCAATGCACCCAGCTCCTGCGTGGAAGGAGCAGTCGGGACATCGATCTCCCCAATGGTTTCCATCAGATCCTCGTCAGACCCGAAGGAGAGTTCCTCCTCGAGACCAAGGGATTGAGGGGCGACATCTGCCCTCCGCACGGCCGCGCGCTGGCCCGAGCGAACACTGGACGGCATCGTGATTTTGCTGTCGGGCGAGGTGGTCGCTGTTCGTGTACAGGGTGTTGTCAAGTTGGTATCGGCTTCCTAGTGCTTGGTGGTCATGGGCGAACGGTGAAGAAACAGTCGAGTGAGCGTGAACGCAAAGTCGAAACTCCAAGTCACGGTCACGAGCACTTTGCTAGGTCGTGCAATGTGAACGCCCAAAAGCAGACTTGGACGTGGCGGGGGTAGTCTGGGCTAGATGCGCAAGGTGGTGGATGAGGGCGTACGCGAATACCGTAAGAAAGGAATGGCTCTTCGATCGCTTCGATTCAATAACGTCGAGAACGGAAAGGAAGAGTGGTATCCGCGGGTAATGTTGGGAGCCGAGCTGCTGGGTCCCGGTCCTTATCCTTTCTCCTGGTGGGTGCGCGGATTCCAGGCGTGTCGATCAGTGCTCGGATGCTCAGCACGTCGGATGCTCGACGTCGGTATCGATGGTGTGAGAGAAGTGACGATGATCAAACGAGAATGAGCAAGAGAAGTCTAAAGCCAGCGGCCGTTTGATCGTTGGGCGGGCTTGCGCAGTGTGGAGAGGAGAGCGCAGAGCCAGTCGTTGAGAGGAGACAGACCTTGGAAGCACAAGGAGAGGCAAATGTTCTCGGCTTGCGTCAGGGCATCCACAGTCATAGGCAGCGCAGCAGAGAAGAGGTGACCCGCCCGACACCAGCGGCGAACAAGAGAAACGACGAGGTACAGGACCGTTCAGGGCCCCAGTCGCAGGGTCTCGGGGACCTGGAGGGCCCATTCAGGGCACACGAAGGGTCCGAGCTTCAGTCTAAGGAGAACGGCGGCGTCGAGCGGCAGGCTCTCTCGCGCTCTCTCGCGCATCTCGCGACCATCAGACGCTATCAGGCTCTATCATGCTAGACAAGGGAACGCTGCTGAATGTCTGAATGGACATCTCGCGAGCTCGGGATGTGATTCCAACTTGCTTCTCCATGTCTTGTATCCTGCACTCCTCCACCCGTTGTATTGTCCTATGGGCCCTCGCCACTCCCTCTTCCGCCAACGTCCCATGCCATGGTTCCGGTGCTGCCGGAACATTGACGACTGACAAGGGAAGAACCACAGAAGCAAGCGAAGGAAGAACAAGCCCCGACGCGACCGTGTTCGATGTAACGTAATGCCACCACCATGCCGGGGCTTCGAGGCCTTCTACAGTTCCCTGCCGCTTCCCGGTCAATGCCACCAGAGCATGCAAGAGTGAGTACCCGGCCAGGTTCAGAGCGCCAGCGTTAGTACTCGGTTCAGCGGAGTTGTCCCGTGCCCGCTCAGGCCGCCCAGGTGGCGACGATTGCTCGAGGCTAGACCGCGGCTATATGATTCCAGCTGCGGCACCCCATGAGCGACTATCACCTCTAGGGCTCTGCTCTGTGCGCTGCGCGCCCAGTGCTCATGTCTGCATATCAGTGCAAGGCCGTGGACTGCGCCTCACGCCTCTTTCAATCTCTCGACGCACAGTCAATGACCCAGAGTGATCACTCGTGCACTGGTGCTGTATTCAAACAGATCCCAGCATGTGGTTCAGCGCAGTCAGCACAATGCCGGACGTTAGGGAATGGAAGCACGGAAGGGGGAGGGCGCAAGCCCCACAACACATGCGACTGGCCCTCTGCCCGTGCTGATCCAGTGACATGCCGTGGTCCTGACGCGCTGTCGCCGGTGAGCGCCCCGGACGCCATGGCGCATCGCGCGTGGCGGCGCGCCAGATTCGAGCGAGCCTGGCAAAGCTGTAACCGCCGTGCGCCCACTATCCCTTGGCGTGTTGCAGGCCTGCAGGAGAGCGCGCTGCTTCCCGGACTCCTGACCCACTTGCCCGTTCTCCGTTGATGAGCAATCTATGCATGATCAAGTTACGGAATGCGTCCAGTGTTCTCGTTATTGTGCGAAAGCAAAGACCTGACTAACCTCGGAGACGCTGAATAGAAGATCAGGTCTGCAGAGGAAGGAACCATGTTAGGGCCGCCAGGTGACAAAGGAACAAGGCACAACAGGCACACACCGTAAGCTTCAAGCTTCGCCGGTTTCGCTGTGGAAACAACTGAGCAAGCCGCACCATACGCACATTAGGCTCGGCCCTCGCAACGTCTCCTTGTGTTTCTGCGCCAATATTGCTCCTTGTTGGGGAGTACGCACTCCACACACTTGCCTGAAGCGTCGGTGCGTCGGCGTGCTGACCAACAGGCTGCTGATGGTGATGCCTGCGGGGCGTGCGTACGTCTGCGTCAGCTGGGCAACTTGGCCGGCCTGGCCGGCTTGATCCAGGCGATGTGGTGCTGTGCAGGATCGCCACCCCCTCTGTGCCCTGTGACGATCCTGCGCACGCTCACGCCGCGGCAGGCTGGTCGGAGCAGATCGCGGCGCCGCGCATGCCGAGCCACGCCGCGCGCAGCCCATGACTACGGGGCTTGCGGTGGCGTCCTGCAAAACCTCGCGGACCCCTTTGCGCCCTCCCCAGATTCCGCGATACCGGGCGATACATGCTAGGAATATGGCAAGGATCAGCCGAGATGACACAAAGAACGGCTCGTACGGCAAAGCAGACAGTGCCAAGTGCAACAATGACGAGCTCACCGGCTACCGGAGCTTGGGAGTGTGACCACTAGAGATGTGGTGAGACAGTGTCTCGCTCTTTGCTGCGGAGAGCGAGGCCGGAGCGAGCCCGAAGCCCAGAAGCCCAGCTTCGGCCGGCTGTCCCGGAGAGACAGGCGCGGAGTGATTGGAGGAAGCGTTACACTGGTACCATGGGCAGGTACCCTCCGGCACGCTCCCGCCAGTCACAGCGCGTACCTTCTGTACCTCCGCGTTCCTCTGTCTCGATGTCTCAGACGCGAGATCGCGAGACAAGCAATGGGCAGTGTGGGCACGCTACACGCTAGCACGCTGCTGCCCGACATGCGCGGGTGCATGTCACCATGTCACCCTCACCAGCTGACAATTGACTGACCCGGACAATACCGACGGAACCTGTTCTGCACACCGGTGGGCTGCATGCTTCCGAATGGCACTTCCATTTCTACCGGCCGTAGAGCGCAGCGGGATAAGACGAGCAATGCAGGATCTCCTGCGCAGGACAAAAGGATGTGCAAGGACGCAGGTATGCGCCTGGCTGACTAGCTGACTGGCTGGCGGCTGCCTCACGGCCGAAGGGATCAGCGGGCAGGGCCAGCCCGAGCAGACCCTTATAGAACACTGGCGCCCTTGCGGGTGTCGTCCTCCTCTCGTACGCTGTCGTAACGGTGTGTCTTGTGAGTCACTTCGCCGACCAGCAAGCCAGCGTCCTTTACAGCCACTCCCTCATGCATGTGATGCCGCTTCTCCTAGCCAGCACCGACACACCCGGAGAGGCCGGCGAGGGGCGTGACATGAAACCATCCGCCAGGCCCGGCACCCGGAGCGAGCGCGAGGGGCGTGCTGGCATCATCTGAATGTCTCCCCAAACCTTATCGCCAGGGGAGGCGAACCTTATCACCACCTCTGAATGCGGCCTTCTGCAGGTCACGACGGCGTCGCACACCGCTCTCTACCCACTTTGCTTTTCTGCTAGCCCTGGCTCCGGAGGCTACGGAGAGTAAGTGAATAATTCCCCCCGCTCAACAAGCTGCACACGTTTCCAAGCCACACTGTATCGCGCAGAAGGTTGCGCCACGCCGTCACTGGAGCCATACCAGTGCCGACCGAGCTGACCGAGCTGATGCGGAACGAAGACGGGCTAAAGAGAAAGCGTACATACTACATCTATGATAGAGAGGAACAAGGCGTCACTCTTCCCCGCGAGTCTGTTTCTGCGACCGGGCTGTGGGAATCGGTCGCCATTGGCCTCGTCGTCCCCGTTGCCCGCTGCCGCGGATTGTTCGCGAACTGCCGCAGTCCGGGTCAGATTGGCACAGGCTTCGAGACAGCGGTCAAACAGTTTCCATGAGATTGGCACAGAGATGGGATCCAGCACAGTGGTGCAACTGTGCATTTAGAAACCGATGCGCACGACAGAGCGGCCGACGCCCTTGACCCAGTCGCGGACACGGGAGGACCAGCCGCCAGCGGCGCGGACCTGGCCGAGGAAGGACTCGAGGCCGCCACCGACACCGAAGTAAAGGACCTGTTGTCAGCTCTTTGTTCGATGGCGCACAGCTTGTCTTCGCCAGTCCATCTGCGTGGTGGCAGGATAGGGCGGGAGCACTCGGTAACCGCTCATGAGGCAGAGGCCCCGTGGGCTTGTCGACACTCACCTTCGCAGCAAGCAGGATCACGCTCTGCTCGCGGAGAGGCTTCTTGGCCCAGTCGTCGAGCGCGAGACCGTCGAGAGCCTGCTCGACCGACTCGTCGTTCGTCGCCTTAATCTCCTTCACGACCTTGACATCGCCATCCCGCGCAGCAGCCTTGAGCAGGTCGAGGAGGGCGCCGACAGAGCCCTCAGCGTAGATCGTCTCGGCAGTCAGGATGAGGTTATACGGCGAATCCTTGGCGACCTCGGCGGCCATGCCGCTCCAGTCTCCGTGCGTGAAGCGGAGCTCGACGCCGGCGTCCTCGAGCGCGCTCTGGAAGGCGTCGAGGACCGCCGGGCTCAGCTCCAGCGTACCCGGCAGCTTGGGGGAGAAGGGGATGTCCTCCTCGTCGCCGACGATCTGGGCCTTGGCGCACCCCCGCGCAGAGTCGGGGAGGAAGGGCAGCGTGGCGAGGATGAGGTTGGGGAGGGTGACGAGAGAAAGGACGGGGAGGTTGTAGTCCTGCAGATGCAGGACCGTTTTCCGCCTCTCCTCCTTCTTCTCAGTCTCGCCCTCCTTGCCCTTCCCCTTGCTTCCCTCTGCTTGCGAGGCGAGGATGCTCCGCAGCAGATAGGCCGACGGCAGTCCCGTTCCGCAGCCGACCTCGAGCACGCGCGCACCGGTGCACCACTCGCCGAGCGCAGACTCAGTACCGAGAGCACGGTGCATGACCTCGACGAGATCCAGTCCACCCTCCCACGACTTCAGGCCGCCCTCGTACTCGCCCGGAATCAGGTCCGTTTCCGCATCGACATATTGCGCCTCCTCGCCCTTAGCGTTGTCATCCTGCGCGAGTTGGAAACGCGCATCGTACAAGTCACGCTTGAGCAGGGGAGTGTCGTAGCTTGACACCGGGTGCGTGAGGGGAGTGTAAGAAATGTCGGCAGGGAGAGTGGCGATCTGGAGTCAGCTTGATCAAGCACATCTTAGCTTTGGGAGTCGCGGCAGATGCCGCGCAGGCTGTGGCTAAGATACGACAGTCCACCCAGGATAGTGCTGCTCTGATATGCATGAGCTGCGAGCTTGGCAGACTCCTAAATGTCCAAAACCGCAATCGGATCCCACGATCGCTGCCATGCCAACGGGGCGGCCAGTGCGTCGAGACTCACGAGGTCCTTAAGGCTGATGTCGTGGCTGGGCTTGACCTCGCCGCGCTGCAGAGGGGCGGGGACGGTCGATCCGGACGCCTGCGGCTCCTCGGCCTCCACGTCAAAGTCGAACTTGAACATAGTCTCTAGGGTTGAATAACGGTGCTGAACTGCATCGACGTGAGCACACAGCTCAACTTTTGGAACGACCTCCACCCCTCCACCGGCTCTGGGCGTCATAATCTTGAGCAGGTGCGGTGAAGTACACGTCACGGTGTGATAAGCGTTGCTCTTAAGTCTGGTGGAGGTCTGGCGAAGTGGAGGTCGAACGGTGACAACATCTGCCTTCGTCGCTCTCCTCATTGTCCATCCTTGACTGCACCAACCCTCCTGCGACTTGTTCGGCATTGGCAGTGTACCCGTAAAGCTCTGCAACCCGATAAGCGCCCATCGCCACGACACAGAGCCAACAGACCGTTCATTTCGCCCATCACTCTGACGCTTGCTTCTGGCACTCCTCAGCATGTCCTCCCCGTTCAACCCTCTTACGCCGAGCCTCGGGCTCCCCGGTCCCACCGGCAACACGCCATACATGAACCTGGGAGTCTCGCCATCACAAGCCATGTCCCCCGCCTCGCCCTGGTTCAACCTGCAGCAGCCCGGCTCAGCCTCAAACCCCCTGGCCTCCCTCGGCCTGCCCGGCTTCGGGATGACGCCGAACGCGACGTCCGGTACACCGTCGGCGCTGGCCAACCTCGGTCTGGGAATGGGGATGGGACAGCAAGTCGGGCTCATGGCGCCGCCGACACATACGGTGCCCGCCTCGACGGATCTGGACGATGCTCTCAGGGTGTTCCCGGAGATTCTGCGGAGAGTCGAGCGCGCAGAGCAGCTTCGCGCCGAGTGCGCAACCTTAGAGGGAAGAGTGTTCCGAGAGGGAAGCGAGAATATGGATAACAGGATCGAAACGGTGCAGCTTGAGTGTGAGTATCCGATCACCCCCGAGGAATAGCTAGCTGCTGTGGCCGAGCTAACTATCAGACGCCCAAACTCTTCTCGAGCTCATCTCGCTCACGAGCACGTATCTCGTCGGTGCACTGCCGCTTGCGACTCCGCCAATTGGGGCGGCTACACCACTCGCGGACCTTGCTGCCTGGACGGAACAGAGGGCCGAGGCGCAGTTCGCCAAGCGCGAGGCCGTCAAGGACGCGTCGAAGGCTGTCGTCGAGGTTCTGTCGAAGAGGGACTGAACCCTGCGACCTTCTGGCGCTTGGACTGGCGCCTTCGTAGTCCTTAGACTGTACATCGCTAAGTTACAACTATTTACAGACAGGTGACATGTACAACTGTATTATTACTGGTAGGGGGGCGGCTGGTGTCCCAAATGGTGTCGACCGGCCCCATTCTGGCGGAAGTCGCGGCGGAAAGCCTCAAGGCGTGCCACAAAGTCGTCAGGGTGAATATGACCGCGGATGGGAGCAGGAGGAGGGGTAGGCGGACGGGCCACGGGGAAGGGGGGCAGTTGAGCGGCCGCATGCACATGTGCGCGGCGACCGCGTCCCCCGACCGGGGCCGGGACGGGGGCAGGTGCAGGAGGTGGAGCTTGGGCTCCACGACGACCGCGACCGCCCTGCGGAGGCGCAGGAGGGCGAGCAGCAAGGGCGGGCATGTTAAGCAGCTGGCGGCGGAGCTCGTTCGCGGCCTCCACGTTGCGGCGGAGGGCCTCCTGGTTAGCTCTGTGTGCGCCAGCTACTCCCATGGCGCCGTTCACGTCAATCATCATGCGGTTTAGAGCCTCGAGACGATTCCCAAGCCCAGCTACAAGCATAGCAGGCTGGTGATAGTGCTGGTGGACCGGCGCTCCCCTACGCGCGGCGGGGATCTCTGGGGCGTCGACAGCAAGATCCGCCTCATCGACCGCCACGCCATTGGTTGACGCTTCGGCAATTGCACGACGCTGCGCTTCGTCGCGGGCTAAGCGGATGCGCTCCGCCTCGACCCGCGCTTCGTTCACGTCGTACAGCGGACACTTGGTACCAGTGGGTCTTCTAGCCCCCTGTCCCTCAAAGTGTTCGTAGTTTGCGATGGGCTTGCGACACACGAAGCAGCTCATCTTACCGCATGCACTGCACGTCATCTTGTTACAGCCGTCCAACTTGATGTACGGCTTGCTGCAGTGCGGGCATTTGCGCACGAGCGCCTCGGACATGGCTTCCTCAATGGCGTGGCGGCTGCTCAGTTTCAGGTCAGCCTCGACTTCCTCGCAGCGCTTGGGTATATGGTCCTGAGAGTTAGACGTCGTGCGAAGTACGGACTTACAGGTCGCTTGCAGCTGCGGCAAGTCACCTTTTTGCACTCCTCGTTCTGACACCGGAAGAGCTTCTCGTGCTCATTGTCAATGACGATTGCGAATGGACAAAATGGGCATGTCTCCAAGCCCTCGATCGCTGCCATCTCGAGGTCCTTCAGTTGGCGGAGGCGTTGATACAGGGACATCGTCTTGGTGGACACGGCGGCAGCGATCACTCGTTCAGTGTACTCGGCGGTGCAGCCAGACATGTCCATGCACTTGATCACCTGGCCATCAGCACTGCTCCAGAACCGAGGCTTACCGTTTGCTGGTCTCCGAGCTTGCTCTCGACCAGAGAGCGCAGGCAATCTTTGCAGAAGAGGTGGCCATCAGGGCACGCAACGCCTTCCTCCTGGTCGTTAGTTCACCCAACGAGCGTAACAGCTCACCGGAGCCTCCTTGTCAAAGCAGCAACCGCATTCGATTGCGTCGCCGCGAGCAACCGCAGCCTCCTTGGCAGCTTCCTTCCTCTTCTGCTCTTCCTCGTCCGCCTCTTGCTGTCTGACTTGCTCGAGCTCTTTCTCAGCGGACAAACCTGGAAGTCAGTCGAGCTTCGACCAGATGTCACTCACGCATTAGCTCTTGGAGATAATGATTCTCCCGGTTGAACTCGACAACGCCGCCAGGGTTGATCACCGACTGCGACGACTGCGAGTCGCCATCTGATGCGGGATCTGAAAGGGGCGGCGCTTCGGCCCTCTGCTTGCCTTTCTGGTATCGCTTGCGCTTGAGCTCCTGGTAAGGCTTGTCCGCTGACGTGCTCTGTTTATGGAGAACATTGTAGGTCGGCACCAAGAGTCGGTGACCTTCAGTCGCAAACACTTCGCGGATGCTGCGGTTAGTTAAGGAAGGGGCCCCCTAACTCACTGAGGCAGGGGAACGGTGGCAAAGATGTCCTGCAGCAGTTCAATCGATCGCGACCCGTACTCGAGCCCACGACGGTGGTCTTGGCGATATGTAATCTCGGAGTAGTTTCCCTTCTCCTCGGGCTCGTCATCGTCCCCCGGACGTGGGTAGCTGTCCATCTCGAACGCCATCTCGATCGTACGCTGCACAACGAGCTGGCCGGGGACATTGGAGGTCGTGTGTAGCTCTTCAATCAGAGCTTCAAGCTGCTGCGCCGCCCAAACAGGACAAAGATCTGGAATGACCTCAAGGACCGACGGAACCAAGTAGTCCGCCCTAGGTAAAATGGGCTCAGCGGTGGGTGGCGTCGTAGTGTGGGTGTTTGATGGGCCTGCCTCGGGGCTGTCCTCGAAGCGAAGACGCTTGGCTGCTGCGGACTCCTCAGCAGTGACCGAGCTCCTTCTCTTCCTAGAGCCGGAACCGCGGGCAGGTGTAACCGGTGTATCGCTCAGGTGGCGAACGGGCACGATATAGTCGTCCGAGTCGCTGTCCGAAAGGACCATGATCGGCGTCGGCTGGCGGGGAGCTCGCAAATGAGCAGGGGCATGGTCAAGAACGACAATGTCATCGTCATCGGAGTCAGACATCGCCGCCTCCTCAGGCTGCTGGGGAGGAGGACGCCGCCCCCTTCCCCGGCGGTTCGCCATTCTGTGGCGTTGACTAACTGTTTTGTGGACACAAAGCACTGGCGAGTGATAGGATTGGTGTTTACAAAGCCGGTGCGAGGCGAGAAGACTGGGAGCTTCGATGCCCGATAGGTCGTTGAGTGCACTGGAGAATAAGTGGATGAGTGGGAGAGGATGAGGATGAGAAGTGAACCGTAGTTTGGCGCCTCCTGTGTCGCGGAGCCTTCCGGTGACCGCGCTGTTGGTGGACTGTGACAGCCGCGACGTTGCACGCCCTCGCGCTTCTGCACGGGCGAGAGATAGTGCGGTCTTGAAGCAGGGTGACTGTGCGAACGGGTGAGTGGACTGAGGCTAAAGCAATGACTGCTGCATGCTATATCCCCCCTCCTTTGCCGATGCCGTCGTCCACCGCGCCCTGCACGCAGTCCGCATTTGCCGCTCATCGTGTACCATGCAGCACCCCCTCCACTTCTTGCTCTCAGGCACAGCGCCCCCTGCCTGGCGTCTGATCTTATCGGATCCTTTTCAACCCAAGCGTCCATACGACCACGTGGCCTTTTACATAAGCACTCGACGACTGGTGACGCTTGCGCGTGTTGCAACACTTGCTCATCCAAGAACGAGAGCATCATCGTCGTTGACAACATCTGGAATCCGCCCAACGCGACACTTCCCTCGACCCCCCGGCAGACAAGCGACGCACAGCGATCTAGAAGTTTGCCATGTTCCTTACACGGTACGTTTTACGCGACTCGGGCCTCGCTGCACAGCTCGAGAGCAGCTCGACACTGATGACGGAATATTGACAGAACAGTTCCGAGTATGACCGTGGTGTGAACACCTTCTCCCCCGAGGTGAGTTACTCCTTCCTTGTGATAGCTGACATGACAGGGTCGTCTCTTCCAGGGTGGGTAGCTGACAACGAGGCGCCTTACTAACGTTCAGTCGAGTACGCCATGGAGGCGATCAAGGTAAGGTGGACGCTCGCTCAACGCTGACGCCAGCTCGGTTCCACGACCGTCGGCATCACGACTCCGTACGGTGTTGTTCTCGGTGTCGAGAAGCGTGTGCAGTCTCCCCTGCTCGAGTCGTCCTCGATCGAAAAGATCATGGAGATCGACCGGCACATTGGCTGCGCGATGTCTGGCCTGACGGCGGACGCGCGCACGATGGTCGACCACGCCCGCGTCACCTCGCAGATGCACCAGTTCACGTACGACGAGGAGATCGGTGTCGAGTCGTGCACGCAGTCGGTGTGTGACCTGGCGCTCCGCTTCGGAGAGAGTGTCGACGACGATGAGGCTCTCATGTCCCGACCATTCGGTGTTGCGCTCCTCATCGCCGGTGTTGACGACAACGGACCCCAGCTGTAAGCTGCCCAGGCGCAAGGTCGAGCTGACAGAAACAGGTACCACACCGACCCCTCCGGAACGTTCGTGCGGTATGAGGCCAAGGCGATCGGTTCTGGTTCGGACGCCGCCCAGCAGTCGCTCCAGGACTCGTACCACAAGGTGAGCTGCTCATATCTTATCGAAGCTAACGATAACAGAACATGACTCTCCAGGAGGCGTACAGCCTTGCGCTCAAGGTGCTGAAGCAGGTCATGGAGGAGAAGCTGGACGAGACCAACGTCCAGCTCGCGCAGGTCACGGGCGAGAAGGGCTTCGAGATTCTCGGCGTCGAGCCGTTGCGCACTGCGATCGAGTCGATCACCGCGTAAGACTAGTAGACTATAAGAGTGACGAGAGCGAGAAGCTATGTAACATCGCATGGATACATATTGTGAAATGTTGGCGGCTGATGACTCTTGACGGAGATGCTATGGCTCCTACCTACCCCTACTGATCTCTATGATTTCTCTCAATCTGCAGTGGCTCACGCCCAGGCTATGAAGACTTCTTGGGCTCAGCCTTGAACACCTTGATCCCACCCCACCGCCATCCGGCCGCCATATCCCACAACCCGCCCATACCCTGCTTCATCTGCTCCTGGCTCATCTGGTCCGCTCCCTTGGGGTCATTCAGCTCGAGCATGACGCCGACGTCCACTCTCTCTCCAGCCCTCAGGAGTCCAACAGAGTTCCACTCGAGCCAAACGCCGACCCAGCTTCCCGAGCCCTTGCGACTCGGCTCACCCAAACTCCTGACAATCTCTCTCCCCGTCGTATTCTTGCGCACCTCCACCCTCGGTTCGCGGGGGAGGCGCATCTCCTTCTCCCCCTCCTGCCGGGGCGGGAGGACTATCTCCTTCTCCGCAAACTCGAATACGAGCGGCAGCGACGTTTCGTCGTACGTTGGGCCCTTTGGTGGTCGTCCGCCTGCAGACGTCGAGGAGCCAGGAGTGGGGCTGTTGAACACGTCGACTGTGACGCAGCGCATAACCTTGGACGCGTCGGGCTCGAAGCAGAGTGAGATGCCCAGTGAGTAGTAGTTCTGGTACACTGCGTCGGGATACGACTTTGTGTCTGCAACAAGCGAGCGGCCGGGAAACAGTGCCGACAGAGCCAGCTTCAGCGTCTCCTCGTCCGGCTTGAGGCCCAGGAGGGGCTGGAGGTCGGCGACCGCTAGCATGTTGTGTCTGTGGCGGAGGCGATCCTGATGGAGGCGCGAGCGAAGCAAGCGAAACTGTCGAAGCGGAAGATGCCGAAGGAACGGTGAGGTGCGGCGATGAACGGTTGCCGATTGTTGCCGACCGAGAGAAGGTCAACGAGAGAAGGATGAGTCAGTTGACGTCACTGCCGCGTGAGCACTCGTGCGCCGCTGACGGGGGCCGTCTCGGAGTCCGATGCCGCTTTGAAGCCCGATGCAAGTGAATGCACGCAGAACCAACTGCGCAAAGAAACGCCAAGCACAGGGATAGGGGTTTTGAGACTCGATCTGCCTGGTACGGTTGAGGAGTGTGGGAGTTGTTGAAGCTTGGGTTGCTTTGAGCGGGACGGTATGTGTACCGTGCAGTGAGTAAGATCGCCCACCAGGGTGAGCGGGGCAAAATTCCCGGCGAGCGGCGAGCGGCGAGCGGCGAGAGCGATTAGGCAGCAAGCGGACAGGCAATAGGCTAACGGCTTAATCCCAATGGCGGAGTGGAGCAAAGAGTAATACAGACAGAAAGCGGGGGAAGACTCAGGGACTGACACGAAAGAGGGGGAAAACGAGGGGGCACGACCTGGGGAAGGCGCGTTCGTAGCCCCTTGGTGCGCCCTTCCTGGCCCTCCTGGTACGCCCACGATTGCGGCAAGTGCGGCTGCATGCGGCAAAGAGACGCCGTCAACGTCACGCACGGCAGATAACCAGAGGCCAGAGGAGCGTCTCCCTGCCATGCCACCTACTCCTCACCCCGTGGACACTCTTACATTCTTCATTCCACTCTCCACTTCACTCTTCTTCGACTGAACTACAGGTGAGCCAACCAACGCCCCGTGCGCACTACTGCCTGCGCACCTTGACGCCCCCCGGCGAGCCCGGCGCGCCACATGTTCAGCGAGGGCTGTCACTCGGCCCGACACGCCTTATCAACAACAAAATCCTCGCCTCTCTCGTGCCAACTCACGCCAAGCGTGTTTTCCACCTCCGTCCAATGCTCGATGCTAGGCGTGCCGGCACAGAAAGGGGAGGTGTGACACACTACGAGCGCACATCTAGGCCTGTGACGAGGAGCGAGCACAGTGCAATGTGCTTCCCCCCAATACATTCCGCTCAAGTCCCCACCACACTGCCAGCGTCGACCTCTCTTCTTCCCTCTTCCCTTCCCCCCTCTCTTTCACTCACCCCATCACACTGAGGTAAACGGCAACTGACACTCCAGCATACCCATCATGTCGGAGAACGGAACCCAGCAGCAGCAACAGCCCAAGGAGCAGCAGCCTAAGGAGCAGCAGTCCAAGGACTCGAAGCCCCACTACCCTTCCTCGCCCCTCGACAATGGCACCAACATCGGCAGTGCGTTTGGGCGCAAGGCGTCGATCTCGGGTGGTCAACCGTTCGCCCTCGAGCGCCGCCCCAGCACCGGCTCCGACCGCCGCAGCAGCAACAGCTCGTCCCGCCGCCCCTCCTTCGGTGCGCCCCTCCACGGCCTGACCTCGATGACCGCCGTCGACAGCCCTCCCGCCAGCGCGGCGCTCTCGCGTTCGCCCTCTGGCCGCAGCTCCCGCGCCTCCTCCCGTCGTGGTAGCGGCACCGTCGTCACCGTCACTGGCCAGCAGGTCGTCTTCCACACCAGGACTCAGGTCAGTTAGACTCACACTTCAGCTGAACTGACGATCAGGACGACGCCGAGTTCCCCCACGCCGAGAAGCCGACCCTCAGCGACCACCTGAGGAAGTACGAATCGCTGTTCACCGGTGAGCTTTTCCGCAACGAATTCCAGCTGATACCAGTTACACCGCAGCGCATGCGCATGATCGTCACCGCCTTTGAGGACACTCTCGACCTTGGTCTCGAGAAGAAGGGCCAGGTTGTTGTAAGTAGCTTTCTAGTCCGGAGGAGTTAGCTGACCCCGCAGCCTATGAGTTCGTAAACTGCCACCTTGCGAGAGCGTTGAGAAATGCTGACACAGATCAGTCCCCACCTTCGTCTTCGGCGTGAGTAGACAGCTTCGTCGGTGTCTAGAGCAAGCTAACGTTTCAGTGGCCCACCGGTCACGAGAAGGGCGAGTTTCTCGCCGTCGACCTTGGAGGCACCAACCTGCGTGTGTGTCTCGTCACCCTTGAGGGCGAGGGCAAGTTCGAGGTCACCCAGACCAAGTACAAGCTCACTGAGGAGCAGAAGCAGGAGGACGGCCAGGCTCTGTGAGTTCGAATTATGTCGTCGTAACTGACTCCAGCTTCGACTTCTGCGCCGACTGTCTGCACAACTTCATCTGCGAGCACCTGGGCCGCGACGAGAACGCCGACCACCTCCCTCTTGGCTTCACCGTGAGCTTCGTTCTTGCTGTTCTTAGCTGATTCCAGTTCTCGTACCCCTGCACCCAAGAGAAGATCGACCACGGCGAGCTGATCCGCTGGACGAAGGGCTTCGGTGCGCCCAACGTCGAGGGCCACGATGTTGCCGCCATGTTCCAGAAGTCGCTTGAGAAGTACGGCGTGCGCGCCAAGCTGACCGCGCTCATCAACGACACGACTGGAACCCTCATGGCGTCCAACTACGTGCACCCCAACACTCGTATCGCTGTCATCTTCGGTACCGGCTGCAACGCCGCGTACATGGAGACGGCCAAGGACATTCCCAAGATCGACTACATGCAGCTGCCGCCCGACCAGGACATGGCGATCAACTGCGAGTGGGGCGCGTTTGACTCGTTCACCCACGAGCACCTGCGTGAGTTACGCTACGGCAGTTCAAACTAACCCCAGCGCGCACCAAGTACGACATTATCATTGACGAGTCGTCGAACAAAGTGGGCGAGCAGGCGTTCGAGAAGATGATTGCGGGCCTGTACCTGGGCGAGATCTTCCGTCTCGTGTTGATGGAGATGATCGACGCAGGCGACCTCTTCCTCGGCCAGAACACGTACAAGCTCGAAAAGGCGTATGCGTTCGACACGGCCTTCCTGTCCCTGATGGAGGCGGACCCGACGGACGAGCTGCTGATGGCGATCGGCATCTTCAACCACTTCTTCGGTCTCGAGACGACGCTCGAGGAGCGCCAGTTCTTCCGCTCCCTCGCCAAGCTTATCGGTACCCGCTCCGCGCGCCTGTCGGCGTGTGGCATCGCCGCCATCGTCCACAAGAAGGGATACCTGAAGGAAGGATGCGCCGTTGGCGCGGACGGATCGCTGTACAAGAAGTACCCCCACTTCCCGGAGCGCATTGAGCAGGCCCTCGTCGACATCTTCGGAGAGGACGGCAAGAAGATCACGACCCACAATGCCGAGGACGGATCGGGTGTCGGCTCGGCCATCATTGCCGGTGAGTTGAGATTTGGTGCCCGTGAACTGACAGCCAGCCATGACCATGCAGCGCAAGAAGGACGGCCTGTACCCCGACTACTAAGTGTGTCGCTGTTGTCGGCAACCATAATATCATATCAAAATAGAAGGAAAAGACATAAGAAAGTGCGCACCCGCACGCCATGTACGTCAAGAGTTATATGCATCGAGTAGCAGAGCGGTTCAGCAGACATACATTCAAGAAGTGGGTTACAGACACGTTGGTTTATAGTATTTACGGGTTTATCTTCTTCGCGCTTCTTTCATCATGCTTTGGGTTTGTGTTCTTCAGATTCAAAAATGGTAGTGACAATCGGAGATTTGTGGATAATGACTAAACAACGTTTGGTATCACCGAAATGCAATGTTTACTTCTTGCAAGCAGAGGGGGGCACCTTGTGTCCGTCCTCGCGGACGCCGCCGCCCCAGGGGGTCTGGCCGACAATCTTGGCGTCGGCGCCGAGACCGCGCTCGGCAAACGCCTTCCAGATGATGCACGCGTTCTCTCCGCCGGTCAGGATCTCGTCGGCCTGGACAATGGCGTCGCGCGCCTCGAAGAACGAGGGGCGGCACGGCTGCAGCTTCATCGCCGACACGATGAGCTGGAGCGCGAGCGTGTTGCCGTGCTTCGGGACGAGGGGCTTGGGCTTGCCTGTCTCGTCGACCTCGAGCGTCTTCGTGTAGTAGTCGTTGGGCTTGGACGGGTCCTCGGGAGGGAAGAGCGTGTCGCTGAAGCCGTACTTCTCGATCAGGCGCTGGTTGAGCACGAACAGGAACTCAGCCCACACCTCGCCGATCGCGTGCACGCCCCAGTAGCCCGGCTTGTCGAGCGTCTTGTACGTCGACGGGTTGTCCGTCGAGTTCGTGCTGTAGATGTAGTTGCGGATACCGGACTTCTGGTTCGCGGCCCAGGCACCCATGGGGTACTTGTCCGAGTCGTCGTTCTTCTTGCGCTCGTGGACCTGGCGAATGAGGGTGGCAATGGCATCTCCCCAGCCCTCGCCCATGCCGCCGGCCTCACCCCAACCGAGACAGCCAGAGTTGGCGGGTCCACCGGTGAGACGGGTGGACAGACCGTGCGAGTACTCGTGGATAACGATGCCAGCCTCGAGGTCACCGTCACGGTAAGGAGTGGCAGTGTCCCAGATGTACATGCGCATGCGGGGCGCCTGACCGTCCGGCGGCGTCATGAAGTTGGCATTGTTGTAGCCAGAGCCGTCCTGCGCGTTGGCAATGACGGGGTCACCACCACGGCCACCCTTCTCAAAGTTGTACATCTGGAAGTTGCCAGAGACCTCGTCGAAGCCGAGACGGTGGAGCAGGTCATGGTACGCGTTACACGTGTAGAAGAGCTGCGTGATCGCAAAGTCGACGTACTCCTTGGGAGCGAGGCCGTCCGGCTCTCCGTAGTCGTACTTGAAGTTCATGTCCTTGGCAACAGGGCGGTGGTTGTCCAGGAAGTTGTTGCGACCCTCCCAGTCCTCGTGGGCGAGGACGTTGTTGCCGATGGTCGAGGCGACAGTCGTGTTGCCACCGTGCTTGTACGAGCCGGGGAACTTGGCGTTGGGCCAGGGGTTCGACTTGGTCGGGAACGTGTGCCAGCCGAGAGGCGACGCCACAGAGTCCCAGGGGTCCTTGACGACCTGGTGCTTGCCAGTGGTGGGGTCGTTGACGCCCCACGGGAAGACATCGTACGAGGCGTGCTCGCCGTTGGGCTCAGAAGGCAGGGGCTTCTGCTTGCCGGCACGGGCGTCGACATGGTGGTGGTCCGAAGCGTCAGAGGCCCAGTCGACGATGCGCTGGATCTGGCCGGTGTGGACGTCGGCATAAGCCTCATACCAGTTGTCCTTCATCTCAATCTCGAACTTGTAGACGAGGACGGGGAGACCGTCGCTGGTCTGGGTCCACATGAGACGAGCGGGAATGTCGGCGACGACGTCAAAGGCACGGAGAATCTCACCCGAGATGCGTTCGGTGGGAGGCTCGGCGTGAGCCTTCTTGGGCTTGAGGCTGTGCTCGGGAGTCGCAAGGAGGAGGGACGGGTCGAGAGCAATCGCGTTGTCCGAGAGGTGAGGGAGGAAGTGAGCCAGAACCTCCGTGGGGCTCTTCATGCCCTTGTTGGGCATGCGTTCGCAGAGAACGACGTGGTTGTCAACGTGCTGCTTGTTCTTGCGGATGTTCTCCTTGGTGTGCTCGTCGACCTCGACCCACTCCTCGATCTCGCCGTTGAGCCAAGCGGAGAGCGCCTGCTTGGCCATGGCAAAGGCGCCGGTCGGGCGCTTGGTCTTCTGGAAGGCGGCGTGGTGGTCGTTGGCGGCCTTGATGACCTCAGTACAGGCGGAGTTCGTGTCGCGGTTGTAGTCCATCAGGGGAATCTCAGATCCAGGGTGGAACGAGTTGCCCCACGAGAGCACGCGACCATGACGGTCAATGTTCAGGTTGATGTCACCATCGCTGACCTCGAGGCCGTTGAGGACCTGACGGGCGTAGACGTGGGTGACCTGCGTGCGGGGATCGGTGTACGACTGTAGAGTATTAGCTCGGGATCCTCGGCAGTGTCCGTTGGTGGGGGAGAAGTGTTACGCGTGATCGCGTGATGTTGTGCCCCACACCGGGGAATGTGGCATGAATGCTCCAGCGGGATGCTGAGGCGATACACAGCCGAAGCCGCGCTAACGAGCCGGAACACTCGGTGGAGCGTTCACGGTCACTTCTGATGACACTGAGAGATGGATGGCACTCTGGAGAAGCATGCGACAGATCGGGACACTGAGCGGATGGGTGGCAAATGACACTTACGTCGTCGCGGATGTAGAAGCCCTCTCCCTCGGTGGTGCCGAGCTTCTCAGAGATGAAGCCAGCAGCAATCTTGAGAGGGTCGCTATCAGAGGAGAGCGAGGCCGAGTGCTCGGGGTGGAGCTCCCAGGTCGAGTGCTTGTGTGCGGGGCCATAGGAGACCGACTTGCGGACGGGCGCATGCGCGTCGGGCAGGACGGCCGCGGCGGCGAGCACTGGGAGGAGGGCGAGGAGTGCTGCCGAGCGCATTATGGGTAAGGACAGGCAGAGAAGGAGCAGGCGAGTATTCTATGCAGTTCTAACCAGCAAGTGTTCTGTGATCTGACAGGGGAGAGGCAAAGGAGTGGAAAGGAGAGGATGGGGAAGAGAGGCAAGAGACGCGGTCCGGGGCTGATAAGGGGAGCCGGAGAGGGCCGAGTGTGTACCCCGTCCAGTCAGTAGTGGGTGGAGTGGCGAGTCGCGGGACCAAATCTGAGGTGTCCCGGTGGCGCGGCGCCGGGTGCTCGGGTGAGCGCGTCCATGCGTGCCATGTATGGTGACTCGGCACCCAGTCAGATGCAGTCATTGTGCATCAATCGTCGGGTAATCGGCTAGCTGCGAAGGCCGCTACGGGTTGGCTCATGCAAGCCCTCAGGAGTAAGGGGAGATGTGAAAGAGGCTGGGGGTAGACAATGCGTCACTGCGTCACCCGTAGCGCCGCGCGATCCGATCGGTCGCCACCCATTGTAGCCCATATCTGTCGCCATCCAGTCGCCTCCCATCGTGCGACTGGGCGACCGAATCGCCAGGCTATCGTCTGTACACGTGATCGTGTCTTTGTGCGCACCCGCAAAGCTTCACCGCGGGAAGAGTGAGCAAGGGGAAGAGCACGTCACGCTGTGCTGCCCGTGCTGTGCATTTGCTTCTGCAGGATGGGTGGGCTATAGAACTGCAGAAGTGGGGGGGGGCAGGGACAATCACAAGCTTCGGTGGGCAGGGGCTCGTGTCATCGCATTCTAGTATCTCGGCCAGCCCGCATGGTCCAGGGCTTCTGGTGTGCCGTTGATAAGCACGATAAACCCCCATCAGCGGGTGTCACAGTGCAGTCACTCTATCATGGATGTCACACAATCTCGGCGCCCCGCACTGCCCACACCCCATGCGTCGAATGATAGCGTCATCCACCGTGCGCATTGAGCATGGCGATCGGGCCAGTCAGCGAGCCCACCCGATGGTGACCATGGGCAGTGTGCAGTAGCAAGTGGAGTTATATACGCATGGGACAAACGTCGTAGAGCAGTCTCATCCCCAGACCAGCAGTTCGACCCCTCCACGCGCTCTCGAGACAACTCAAACAGTCCCGCTGTTGTCACACTTGACTGATCGCAGCTGACAACTCACCCGGCAGTTCCCGGGATCCACCACGCGATAACTACCAGACGCACACTACCCAGGCTAACCGAACAAATGGAATAATAGGAAGGCGGACCACACAGTCGTCGCAGCGGGGCGCATGGGTTCCTTGTGCTCCGATGGTCACAAGAGCGCCTGGAACTGAGCCAGAGCTTTGGAAGGTCTACCATCTGGCCGGCTTCGGATCGCTTGTTGATCGACCAGGCGATCACGATATCGGTCATCGCCTATTGGCGCCTGCCGCACATCCGTGGAGGAAAGAGTCGGCCGAACCCCGAAGTAGTGTGAGCTGCGACGGCTGACATGCAGAAGCGGTAGCGCGAGATAGACAGCGCGCGGCCAGTGTGACGCAGCGTATCTAATCAGCGTGCGGACGTTGGCCGGCGAGTGTCCAGCTTGCAATTGGACGGCCGATATGACACCGGCCGTACTTGCGTGGCTCGGCCTGCGCTGGATCTCGCGCGGCGTTGACAGCTGGGTAAGCTTGATTATGCAGTGCATTGAGCGTGCATTTCGCTGTACTGCTAATCTGGATATTCGACGATTCAACGGGAACGCTTGACCATTGACGACAAGCACTAGCTCTGAGTCTATTGTGCGGGCATGGGTCCAAGCCAGCGCACAGCTCGGCACAAGCGGCGGTGCGGAATCTCGAGACCGAGAACGCGGACCGTCGCCCCAGCGTTGCGCGAGTCACACATACCCATGCACACGCCCAAGACGCAACGAGCAACGAGCAACGAGTGCAGTGCAGTGCAGACGTGGTTCGCCCTGGAAACAAGGAGGGGCGTCGCCCACCGACGATCACAAGCCTCCCCCAGACCACGGCACAGGTACGGTGTGATCGTGTGCACGCGCCTCTATGCGCCTGGCTGTCGATCCGTGGGCTGTGGGCTGCCGCTGTGGGCGGCCCACTCTCCTCTGGACTCCTGCGCACTGGAAAAGCAGTGGGCTATCGACGAATAGTGGACTGGACCTCTGAGCAGATTGTGCGGTACGCCAGATTACGCAGCGGGGGGGAAAAGGTCGAATCGGAATGTATTACGTCACACCTGTCATCCAGGCCAGCCAGGCAGAGTGAGCCATTTACGCTGCGTCCAGGGCCAGGGACAGGCGAGGGACAGCGAGGGACGGCAGCTGATGTCCCGCATGGCCACGGTCTGGGGCTAGCTGGGCAGAATGGACTGGGTGCGGGTCTGCGGGGCAATCGATTGCCAGCAAGCGGCGAGATGGGCGACGAGTCATATCCCAGTAACCACCGCTGAATACCCTCACTCTCCTTATGCTTGCGGCGCCACCAAATTCCGAGGTTGCCGAAGAGGTATATAACTGGCTACTTCTTGCTGTCTCCACTCCTCAACAAACACTACACCAACTACTCGTAACCAAACTTATCAACAATGTTCGCTACTGTAAGTCTCTCCCTTGAGCTACGAGGACCCCGTCCCAGAGCTGACCACCAGACCAACTCTCCCATCCTCTCTTGCCAGGGCGGCTGCACCGGCTGCTCGACTGGCTCGTGCCAGTGCGGTGACAAGTGAGTAGTACTCCTCGCCTCCTCCCTTGTACTCCCTTTCTCTCGTTTCGACTCTCTCCCCTCCGCCGCTAGGCCGTGCGCGAATTCCAGTTGACAACCAGGTGCACCTGTGCCGGCTGCACTTGCGGCGACAAGAAGTAAACCTCTACTTCATCCCGCCCCACCCCGCCTAGTCTGTCTGCCAGAACAACACTCTAGCGGCGACTAGCAAACGCCAATGAAAACACAGAAAACCCAACCAACGAAAGAAGACATGTCCATATGTTGTAGCAACGAGTATGAAGAACGTCTTGTCCCTCCTACGACCTTCGCCCGCTGTTGCGTGAGGGTCGCCACTGACCCATCACTGACTCTAGCTCGCCGTCTAGTTCTATATCGGGACACCGTCTTCGGAGTGGGTCAGCTCACACGACTAGCGCCGTAGCGCCGTCGACATTCGTGATACCGGTGCCAACTACCGGAATAGTGGTACGAGAACCCCCGTCCCGCCCGCGCCGCCCGGGAATACAGAGACCACTGGCTCCGTATCTTCGGCCCACACCCCATACCCCATGGCTCAGTGTGCACCCCGCGCACCCACAGGCCCACAGGCCCACAGGCCCACAGGACAAGCTGGGCGCGATCGGGCGTCGGGCAGAACAGAAGGCGAGCAGTGCTACATGCTTATCACCCAGTGCCCGCAGCTTCTTGCGCCCTCGCCACGATCCAATGGGCAACGTCGGTCCACTGGTGCAGCCGGTGCAGCCGGCGCAGGTTGGTCAGCAAGTCCAGGTGACTTGGGCCCGTTGCCCGATCAGGCTGAGGCGGCTGAGGTGGCTCAGGCGGCTGAGGCGTCTTGCGCCCTCGTCATCTACATTTCCAAGAGAATTTCCAAGCACAACAGCGGACACAACGGAATGGGGCACCGGGGGCGCACTCATCCCTCACGACGATCATCACGGCTTACACTGATACACTGGCCTGCAGCCTGCGCTCGGATCAGGGGGGGGGTACGAGGGTACGAGGGTACGAGGGTACGAGGGTACGAGGGTACGAGGGTACGAGGGCATGAACGCTCAGGCCATGGCACAATACCAGATACCAGATACCAGGATAGGCATCGACACAAGCCGGCAAAGACCGCGCCGCACCCGACTAAAGATAGCTCAGACAGTCCGACAGTCCGACAGTTGGCAAAACAGCTTTGCCTGATGGCGAGAGGAGAGGCGATAGCGGATCTCGGAGATCCGGAGAGAGCTCATGACTATGCCGAGATGCAGGAGCTCGACATTCACAAGACTCGAGCCCATCACTGCCTCCGCAGGTGGCATGGACGGCCGCTCGCGCGCTCGGGTTTCGCTCACTCTCATGCCCCCCGCCTCGATCAGTACCGCGGCTCGCCGGCTCTCTGCTGGTAGAATAACAGGACGACAGAGAAGGAGCCGTTGAAGAGGCGTTATCTCAGTCTCTGCATTTCTGGGCGGGTAGCTCGAGCAGGGAGAGCAGGGAGTCACCCGCGGTCCCTTCTGGACAGCCTGGACAGAGACATGTCAGCTGACCCCTACAAGCTCTGATGCTTTGCGCCTGGCATACTGCACAGACGCGGAATGGATGTAAAGGTCGCGCGGACGCTCATACTTGCCCCAAGTCGAGGCCCCAGAGCTGCCCAAAGTAGCCCACTCTCTCCACCCTCTCCACCGTTCTGCAAGAGTCGGAATGGCCATACGTCGTCCGTGGGTTTATCGCCACACCCCGACCCCCGCGCTTCAGCTTCTCCCCAGATCGACGACGCCATTTCCAACCGAGCGAGAAGCGAGAAGAACACACACACACACAGCAAGTGTGCGGACCCCAGCGTCTCCAATTTCACGGCCCCGCTGGCTATCTGTGTTTCTTGCGGGCAATTGGGCAAGCTGCAGTCCGTTACTCAGCTTTATTGCTCATGCAACTGGTCACAAGAGGCAGGTAAGCAGAGTCCACCTGGTATATTGCTACGGTGGCATACCAGTTACACACCCCTCACTTGTCCTCAGCAGGAGCGCACAGATCAAGCTGCGGTCACCTGTCCACGTATCATCCCCCGTCTCAGGCCGCTCCAGACTCCAGAACTCAGCGCACGTACCGAGCTTCTTAGCTGTGCAGCCGTGGACGTGCATGACTTCCTCAAAGGCCTTCGAACTTCTCAAGAAGACAAACCCGCAAAGTCGCAGGGGTCCCGATCTCAGTTCCGTTTCAACCACGTAACGGATCGCCCTTGCTCCGCCGGGGCACCAGGGACTTGTAGCAGATGCAGAAATGGCATGACGGGCCGGCCCTAACCTTTTGCCAAGGACAGGGCACGGTCGAAACTAGAGACTTATACAACTCGTAGGGAAATACTAAAGAGGGCTGGTGTTTGTGTATATTGTACTTTGTGTGAATGTTTGGGAGTCTTGAGGGTCGTTGCGGAGGGTCCGCGAGTCGTTAGAATGTGAAGTGGAAGTGGAGTGTGAAGTGAAGGGTGAAGTTCTGAGTACAACGCGAGAGTGAGAATGGTACAGAATACAGTTTGCAGTTGAAGAGAGAGCCTAGGCGACCTTGGTAGCGAACCAGACCTTGTCGACTGATGAGGGCGAGTTCGACGCCTGCCGAGTCGTCATCATCGGCTTGGGCGGGATGGCGGGCGGCACGCGCGGCTTGACGGTCTTACGCCTGTGCTCGTGCGTGTGCGAGTGGGCCGGGCCCGCGAATGCGCGCTTGTTGCTCCTCGCGTCCGTCGCGAGGTCGCGCATGTCGCGCGGTGAGATCTCGTGGAAGTCGACCCGCTTCCGCGTCACGTTGTTCCCGAGGAAGAAGTTGTAGATGTCCGCCGTGTCCGCCGGCAGAGAGGTCGGGCGACCTGCGAGTCCTGCGACGGGGCGAGAGGACACGGGGAACGCCGAGATTGGGCGCGGACCTAAGGATGAGAAGGTCGAGGGAGGGGGAATGTAGGACGGCGGCCCGGCGCTAACGGACACAATACGGCGCTGCGGGCGCGGAGGCACGGGAGGGCTGTTCTGCGACGACGATGAGCCAGATGGCGTGCGCGAGTTGGAGCGTGGGGAGAGGCGCGCGGGAGGAGAACGGCGTCGCTGAGAAGCTTCGGGCAAGGGCAAGTCGCGCGCCGAGGCAGGCGACGAGCACCCACTGCTAGGCGGGCGGGGGTCGAACGGGCTCTGGGGTGGGTGCCACTCGCTCTCATCCGTGTTAAGCTTGAGAACAGGCTTGCGCTTGCGCCCGCCGACGAGCGTGCCATAGCTCTTCCCGTTGACGACAGGAGGTTGGGCGGGTGTCACCTTGTCGGGTGTTTGGCGCGGTGTTTGACGGGGAGTCGGCAGGGGTGCGTGCTGGTGAGCGGACTGCTCGGCGAGAGAGGTTCCCCACTGTGTCTTGACGTGGCCGACTGAGTCAGTCGCAAATAACAGCGGCAGCGAGGAAGGCTGCGGCGCCGAGATCATGTCCTTGCGCTTCCGGTAGCGCGGCGTGTCCTGCTCCTGGCGGGGCTTCTTCTTGCGCTGCGACAGCGAGAACCATGGCGGGTACGTCGAGAACGGGGGCATGATGTTAAGGGGGTTGTTTGGTTCAAGGAGTCGATGAGAAGTCAGACGCGCGAGGGCGTGGGCATCGAGCAGGATGTGCGAGTGTGAAGAGTTGGGAGTGTGATCGTGTGATGTTCAGTGTCAGAGTCGGTGGCAAGATGAGTGATGTAGGTGCGGGGGTATCGGTGACAGGAGGTGGTCGAGCAAGTGAAGGACAGCTTGGCTCGGAGGATGGGGACGGAGCAGAGACAGGGAGAGAGTGTGTGATCGAGAAAGGCTGGGAGTATGGAGCATGCAGAGTCATGTGTCACGAAACGCGCGGCTGGGGGGAGCGAGGGCAGCCTCTGGACCGTCGAGCGTGCATGGCGTCGGGTGGTCTGGACATAGCGCGATGGTGACTAGGAGTCGACGTGCATCAGTGTCCATCAGGCCTGGCGTCTCAGGCGTCTGGCACGTCTGGCACGTCTGGGCGCAGTGGATCCGCGTTGGGGTGAATGGTCCCGCCCCGTCCAGCCGCTAAGCCACCGCCCGTCCATCGTAACGCACCTCGCATGCCTCCGTCGAGTTCCACTCTCCATCAGGTGCAACGCTCCCTTCAACCACACTTTCACTGTTGCAAGACAATGAATGGGAACACAAAACAGATAAGGTGGACAAAATCAAACGCGTCGACGTATTCTACAACCAGTTGTCCTGAATGCTCAAAATTCCCCGAGGTGCCCCGGATCACCGATATTCCTTGGCGACGACTCCGATTCTCTATAATTCTACAATCTATCGTTGACTTCTAATCTCTATCGCTTACCTCCTTCTAACGACGGCACCGCTGCCTCTTGACCGGATGCCCGCTCACCGCGCCGCAGCATCGCTTCGTGCTGCCCTCGGGGCTCACAACACGACACTTGCATGCACCTTGACTTTCGGCTTCGGTCGGAAGAACATTCGATGGGCCATAGACGCGGCTGATCGTGTGCTGCACGATCTTGCCGAGCGTCCCAACGGCCCTCTCCTCGACCACCTCGACAGCCCACAAAAGAAGGTTGAGGCCTGCGGCTGCACTGGAGAGGATGTGGTGATCGAGGCTGTGCTGAAGCCAGACCAGTGGCGCGGGTGCGGAGTAGGGGCCGGAGCACCCGGTGCCTGGCGCCGAGCGGCAGTGGTTTGGCCATCTGCACTGCCTGCGGGGAAGAGGACAGGTCTGCCTGTGACTGTTTCTAGCAGCGCGCAGACGCAACTTGTGCGCCGCCTCGATTGGCCATCTGCGCGAGACCTCGGCACGAGGCTGACCGCACGGCACTACCGGCGGCGACGGGCGGTGGATCTCGGATGAGGGCCTGTCGGGCGGATAGGGTGTTATAAAGGGGGCCCCGACTGACCACAGGTCGTACCCGTTCGGAGTCATAGGGCTGTCGAGGCCACCGTATTGTGGGCGGTAGTAGTGGTCGTCCTCGTCGTCCGTTTCGGACTCTTGGGTCGCTGTCGAGCGAGTGCAGCTTTCTTGTCCCAGGAAGCGCTCGAGAAGAATGGCCGTTGGCGAAGAGCGGTGCACTCCCCCAAGAGGGGTGGCCGCGGGCACGCGTGCGTGAGCTCTAAGCTGAGAAGCTGCGGCGGAGGAGCTGCGCTGAGCCGCGCGAAACATGGTGGATGTGTTGAGGTATATGGAACGAGCGCCTATGAACGGAGGGAGTGGATGTTAACAAGAAGCGTCTGGAGTGAAGATTTTCAGCAGCAAGAAGCTCCATCGACATGGTGAGAACAACAAAACAGCGCGCCTGGATAATTGAGGGTAACGAGGGCTGGACGCGGCTGCGCGGACCAGACCACCTGGTCTCGCCCACTAGCGCCAGATCATGATGTCCCCTTGATAGCTCCTACAGCTCGTTATAAGCTCGCTGCGTGCTGCATGTCACTCATACGTAGATCTTGTGTTGCGCAGATGCTCAAAACCTGCAGGAAGCGGCTTCCTGATTGTCTTGTGGAAGCCACGACAGTGGTCAAAGGTCAATGGATTGACAAACCGGCAAGCAAGACACCTTGTCGACAGATGACAAGCTTCGACACCAGTAGGGGGGTGACTGAAACATGACCCAGTCTGTTTGATAGCACACAACGTGCCCGAGCACACCAAATAGCAATCTTCCGGTCCACTGGGTCCGTTGGCGTCGCAATGTTCCTCCCGCTCACGGACGACGTCGGTAACCTTGTCTGTACCGTTGAAGCAAGGTACCGTTGATCCAACGGATCTGTGTGATCGCCCTTCCTACCCAATACCACGAGTACCATGTCCCAAGCGCAACTGCAGTGAGAAATGGCATCGAGACCGCACAGCAAGCTCCAATGGCCCTTGTCCAGGCAGCCATGGTCACTGTGAGTTGCCACTGCCAGGGTCGCTGTTCGCACCCAACTTTTGAGCTGGTGGTGATCCGAGTTGACGTCAGCTTTTGCCACCCAATGAATGTAAATTCCTCGATTGCCTGAAACGGAAATAAGCAGGAATTGCGGGCAACCCCTGGATCGAGATCGCCCTGTGCGGCACACAGACAAGCGCGTCGTGTGCATGTCACAGCAGCCCAGAAACGAAGAGATGCATGCACGAAACGATGACGCAGATGTCCGTTACCAAGAGTTCCGTCAGTCGAGACAGCGTTCCAGCGTCTCGGATGTGTTGTAACCTGTAACCTGGTGCACCCGGTAACTTGGTCGTCTGGCCGCAAGGGTGCCAGAACCCTTGGCAGGGAAGCCACGTGCCAGGACCCGCGCTTCGTGTGACAAGAGACCCTGAGTTCCTCATACAAGTCAGTTACGGCCAGCCAGGAGCCAGGAGTGGCCACTGCCTGTCAAGGTACGACGGAGCGGCCACCGTACAGCGTCGAAACCCCCCCACCGCGCGAATCTCCTACTCTGGTACTCGTCCTTTTGTCGCCACGAACTTCTGACCCCGCCGCCGCGCCGAACTCGCATCGGAATCCCCCTTCTCACTGACCCACCTCCCATTGTCGCCATTGTCCTTTGCCCATCCACTCCGATCCCCTCCCACCGCGACACATCCATCCACCACGTACCTTGTCTCCACCATCTTTTACCACGACTACCCCTTGACTGCACAGCGCATCCAGTCGCTATGCCCGCTGCAGTCAAGAGACCCCGCCCACTCACTAGCGACTCGGAGGCATCGGGCCACGAACAACGCCTAGCTCCACCCATCGATTTGAAGCCCTCTCTCCGTCCCAGCCTTAGGGAGTACCGCGACCATGTATCCGAGACCGACGCGACCGAGACTGAGACCGAGGACGCAGAGGTCGAACTCGGCGGCATGCTCACATCCATCGAGCAGCTCACCGACGACGCCGACGTCGACGCCTCCCTCGCTTCCCTTCCTCAGAGCCCACTAGCGGCGTACGGGAAGGGGAAGGGAAAGGGCGTCGACCCAGCCGAGCGCTGCCTAGCTCGCCCGAACAAACGGAGCGGCAGCCTGTATCCGGCCAAGCGAGCTCCCACTACTCGCCGACGCGTCTCTCCCGGTTGCACTGTTCGTAGCTCTTCACGGCCTGAGCGGAGGAGGTCGCTGACTCGGTCGCAGCTGCAGCCTCTGAGACCCACCCGTCGCATCGTGTCTCCCACCGAATCTATCTACAACATCACCAAGTGCATCGACAGCCTAGTGAGTTCATGTGACCTCGACATGGCGTCGCTGACAATAGGCCACGAGCCCTAGCTCGCTGGAGGATGAAAAGCGCGTATATTCCTCTTTGTTACTGAGTCCCAGCGACGCCAACAGCCGTAGTACATCCTCCACCGAGTCGTTATCGCCTGTACCTGGGTCGCCGTCGCCTGCACCAGACTCCGAGCCCAGCGAAGATGAGGCCGAGCGTGACTGGCTCGAGTCACCGCTCGCCTACAAGCTCCGTCAGTCCGTGCACCGTCGTCGTGGGAAGCTGGCCAAGCGCCGTGCAGCTGCCGCGATCACCGACGACCGTCTGGCGAAGAAGGGCAAGAAGTGGCATGAGCTTGAGACCCCGAAGCAGCGGGCAGCGCCGCTCACTGTAGAATCGCTCGAAAGTCTAGCGCGGCAGATGGGCTATAAAGTAGTCCCGGCCAGTCCAAAGGCGACTAGTGACATCCCAGAGGAGCCTGAATACGTCTTCAAGATCCCAGGCCCTGTGAAAGAGGTCGACACCGGCACCACCCTCGGCAGTTCAAGCAATCGTCCTCTATCTAGTCCGAAACAGGTAGACACACTACTCGCTAGCGCCGTTGCCAGCTCTTCGAAAACGCCCTCGCCCAAGAACAAGCGTGCGAGGCGCACCACCAACGAATCGACCTCCGAGTCCGAGAAGCCTGTCTCTAAGCAAGCCAAGCCCGCCCCAACTAAGGCCTTTGCGCTTCGCCCGCCCAAGCCTTCCAAGCGTCGTGAGAACAAGCGCTCCACCGTCCGAGTTGTGCGGGACCGCTACGCCGGCACCGTCCCGAAGAGCAAGCACACTGTGGCTTCGAAGGCGCCAGTCCATCAAGTCGGTGCTAGTGAAGCTCCTGTTCAAGCCACGAAGGCGCCACCTGTCTCACCTGGCCGTGCACGTTTCCTCCGCCGTAGGATTAGGAGGTCCCACCGGCCCGTGGCGCTGCACCGTCCCTCGGAGCGCAAGACGCTGAGCGGCTTCCACAAGGTCGCTGCCTCTCCTGATGTCGCTCCGATGGCAGGGCATGAGTTCGTGCATGTTCTGCAAGTGACTGTTGTGAACCGCCGAGTGCGCAACGGTATGCTCGCGCGACACCGCACGCGAACGGAGCAGGAGCACACCAAGCGCGTTGCTCCTCCGAGCCGCCGTCTGTCAGGCTCTCCCTCAGACGAGGACGATGAGGTGGACATGCTTCTAGAGTCCGACGTCGAGATGCTCGACAACGAGGAGATCGAGGTTGCTCTGGCGCAGGCGCCGAGCAAGCTCAACGCTTCTCGCAAGCGCCCTCCTCGAGGCGGCGATCTCGCCGCTGAACGTCGCGGCCGACGCGCAACCCTCCGCCAAGACGAAGTCGCCGTGCAGGCTGAGCGTCTGAAGGCGTTCTTCGCCGACCGCGCGGCTGAGCGCGAAGCCGCCCGTGAGCGACGAGACGCAACGAAGCGTTCCGCGATCGAGTGGCTCATCGCCGAACGTGAGCGGGAGCGGGAGGCCGCCGAAGCTGCCGAGGCGGCCCGCGTCGAGGCCGAAACGGCAGCTGAGGCCGAGGCGGAACGTCAAGCCGCTGCAGAGATGCAGGCTGAGGCTGAGCGTCGCGCACAAGAGGAGCGCGAGGCTGCCGCAGCCGAGGCATACGAGCAGGAACGCCTGCAGCTGCAGGCTCGCATTCGCGCGCGCACCGCCCGCCTGAACCTAGCCCTGCACCGTGAGCGCGTGCCGACTGCTGGCTTCGTGGCGCCGGGCCGCATGCGTGCCGCCACCACCCCGATCAGGACCTTCCACGAGGACGTCGCCGAGTCCTCAGCCGCCGCCGAAGCCCGCGTCGAGCATGAGATTGACACCCTGGCCGAAGTCACTGAAGCAAGTGACACTGAAGGCTCGGAGGACGAGAACGACACCCCGTCCACCCCTCGCGCTCCGCGCACGCCCTCGCCCGGTCCCCGACAGGAGATCCCCATGGACTCGCCGCCGACGTACGAGTTCCCCTTCTTCCCCATTGTCCGCCCTGCGTCACGCGCGGCCCGTCCGCGAGTTCTCTCTCGCCAGCGCCGCGCTTCGGACCCGCCCTCCTACGTCGAGTTCCGCGAACGCACTGACCGCTCGCCCTCCCCGCCCCCGCCCTACAACGCGCAAAGCGACCGCACGACGCTCATCTCGCCCGTCTTCCGCTCCGACAGCGAGAGCGAGAGCGAGGACACACCCACGCCAACTCCTCGCGCGCGCGTGCTGGACAGTGTCGAGCGGCGCATGTCGCCCGTCACGCCTACGCCTGCGCCTCGCCAGGCTGGCGCCCGACTCGGCCTCGGCCGCCCCACGGGACGCCCGGTCCACACCCTTCCCCGCCGCACTCTCCCAGGCTACCTCAGCATGGGGGATAGTGACGAAAACATCGGGGCACGTGCCTCCTCCGCCTCCTCGGAGTCGGAGTACGTACCCGGCTCCGACTCTGAGACCGAGGAACAGGAGCCGGCGCCGATCGTGCGCACCATTGGCCGCTGGTTCGGTTTCTGGTAACCACGATACGACACTTCTGTACTTTGTCTTTCCTTTCAATTATGGATTCTTGTTATGGTTACATTATGATACAACACGGCACCCCTCTATACTGCTGGGGGGCTAGAAGTTCCAGCCATACCCGTTCGCCTTGCCTGAACGGTACAAGTCGCCGACGACCGTCTCGCGCCACGCTGCATTCTGCCGCCTTATTTTGCGCCGCTTGCTCTTGCTCATCTCCTCTTTCTCCTCGGGCTCGGCGACAGGAGGTAGGAAGACGTTGATGTGGCTCCACCCGTGTCCCTTTGCGAGCTTGGACTCGGGGAAATGCGCGACAAAGCTGCGCGGGAGCTCCTTTGCTTTCGTGCAGATCTTGTGCTGCTCCGATCGTGCCGGGGGGAGGGAGGGGTAGTGCTCGTGCGCCCACTCCGCCTCCGTCGCCAGCCGCGCTATCCGCTCCCTCATCTCCGTGGAGAGAGGGGTCAGGCGCGGGTTCCGCGTCACTTCGTAGTACTCCGTATCGTCCAGGTTCACGTCGACGGGCGCAGCGAACAGCGGGAATCCTGATGTCAGCTCAAACCGGACTGGGTAGCTGATGTAGATGGGCCAGAGGGAGGGGAAGGAGAGGCGTACTCACGAACAATATCATTCTTTGGCAGCGGCGGCGCCTCGGGCTTAGCAGCAGCCTCCAAGGCCGCTTTCATGGCCCTCTCGCGCTCCTTTCGCCGTTTCTTCTTTGCATTCTGTTTCTCGGCTTTCGTCATCGGCCGGCCGAGGGCTGCTTCTGCCGCGGCGTCCGCCTCGGCGTCCGTTGTCGCTGCAGTTGCGGGGTTGACTGGGCCGACTGGGGCAACGGGAGTAGAGGAGACATCGAGGGCTGGTATCGGCGTAATGTCGGCGAGGTCGACGCGCTCCTTCATCAGCGACTCGTACGCTGAGACGAGCTCTGGTGGAGGGTCGAACGGTTCCTCCTCCTCCACTTCCACTGTCACCGTCTCCGTCGCTACTAGTGTCGGGTCCGTGGAGATCGGAAGATCGTCCACCGCGCTAGCCGAGCTATCACTGCTTGTGCTAATCGTGCTCGCGCGTCGCTTCATGTTGCAGCTTTCGGCGTCGGCTGGGGTCGATCGATAGTGCGATTTCAGGCAGTGAGGCTCCGAAATCTAATCGGCCTCCACCACGGTGGCAAAGTGCCACACGCCCAAACGCCGACTTGACTCACCCCAGCAGCGCGTCACTTGATTTCAACCTTGTACGGTGGAGAAGTTGGAACAACCACATCAAGCGCGACCATGTCGTACAACAACATCGGACTCTCGACCGCGAGGGGGAGGTGAGTGCGCGCAAGCGCAGCGAGCGTCTCCATCCTAAGAATGGGAAGGGGCATCCTCGCTGGCAGCTCAACCCTCACGATGGTATAAGCTGACATTCAGTGGCACGAATGGCTTCATCCAGCGCAACTCGGCGTCGCTGGCTGTGCGCTCTGGACCCCCCGGCGGATTCGGAGGCCAGCAGAGCTACGAGGATTACCTCAACGAGATTGCCAAGCCACCCATCCACCGGAATCCTGACGCGGGCATTCTCGAGCACGAGCGCAAGCGCCAGGTCGAGATCAAGTGTCTGGAGCTCCGGGATCAGCTTGAGGATGAGGGGTGAGTACTACGAGAGCCTCTGTCCTCCGACACATCACCCATGGGAGGAGAGAGAATGAGCTTCAAGACAGACGAGCACGCAACCACCGCAGAACACCTTTGTTTCCCCGCTGCCCTACTAGACAGTGCCTTTCGACATTGCCGGTTGTCGAGAGGTGATTCGGGCTAGCGAATAGCAAAGCGTGCTCGAATCTGCCTAAAGACCGTTCTTCTCTTTTCTCTCGTGGGAAATGTGCGGGGGACGGCGTTTCGACAATCACTTCATCTGCTAACTCTTTCACAGGATGGACGACGACGAGATCGAGGATCGCGTGTCGCGGCTGCGCGACAAGCTGACGGCGGCCAACGTGACGCTGAACGCGCGGCAGGCAAAGGACTCGCACTCAATCGCGGCGGCCAAGGAGGTCGAGATGGGCCGCATGAAGAATGCGCTGCGCATCTCTGCGGACCACGTCGAGGGCAAAGCGTTCCACAGGGAGACCGAGGAGGAGCGTGCGATCCGCCTCGCGGAGCGCGAGGAGAAGGAGAGGCAGAAGATCGAGGAGGCTGTCGAGCGCGAGCGCGAGATGGAGCGCCGCAAGCGGGAGTTTGAGGAGAAGGAGAAACTGCGCCGGCGAGAGGAGTACAAGCGCAGGAGGGAGGAGGAGAAGCGTCGTCGGAGGGAAGAGCGCGCGCGCCGTCGTGAGCGCGATGACCGGAGCCGCTCTCGCTCCCCCGTCCGCGGGCCGCCATCCGCTCGCCCGTTCGCCGGCGCGACGACTCGGCCTCCCCTCCCCCGCGCAGGAGAAGCGACTCGCGCTCTCCTCCCCCGAGACGCAGGAGGGATGCGTCCACGCCCCCGCGCCGCCGCGACGACTCGGACAGCCCG